CGACCGCCAGCGCCGACGGGCGAGTGGGTCCCGGGGTCCCGGGCCCTGAGGCGGACGGGGGGCTCCTTTCCCGGGGTTTTGTCCCGCGGTCTGTGGCAAAAGATGTTCTAGGCAAAGCGACAGAAAGGACCGGTTAGCATAGCCACAGACACCTGTTGCCTGGACGGATTTATCTCAACCATTTAGTCGTGTTTGTATTGAAATATACTTCAGAAAACTTGTCAATATTTTATTTAGGTTGTAAAAAGAAGACATAAAATATGACAGGATTTTGAGCTTTTGATATTTAACAACCCCCCATAATGGTGCCGCTAGATTTGTGGAATGACTTTATCTCTGAAGTCGTGACTGGTTCACCTCTTGTTCTGAGTTTGTTACTTTTCGTCTATCATTTTATCAGTCCACCCAGTTTAACTACAAGCAAGCAGCATTTGGTTTTAAGGAATATTAACCTTTGTAAAAGTAATGTTTTGAGGTTGGAAATTGAAATTTCATATAATTGAGTCATTGTAAGGAAATCGCACGGGTAAATGATTATTTATTAATTGCAGCAAAACCGTCAGCATTTTCCAAAGTCTAGATTTATTTATTTATTTTATCTATCTGGTGGTGCTGGGGATAGAACCCAGGGCCTTGGACAACCTAGCCAAGAATTCTACCATTGTGCCACACCTCCAAGCCTCGGAAGTCTAAAATTTAAATTGGAGATTTTAAGCAGAGGATTATAAAAACAGCATCTAGTATGTTTCTTAGTTGTGGCCTATGTATGGCAGTACATCATATCTGTAAAATGAGAACATGTTATATATTAATATTCTAAGAAAAACTAAATCAAGAAAATGTAAAGTATTGGTGCATAAAAATCATCTAGCAAGGCTTTATCCTTAAGTGTGCCTTCTTATATATCTTTTTTAAATCCATACATGTAACACCTATTTGGAATAGTGGATAGTCTGATGTCTTACTTACCAAACAAGTAATTTTAGAGCAAAGGCATAGACTTTGTAATCAAATCCCTGCATCAATTAGCTATGTGATTTGGATTTGTCTCCCATTTTTCTGAACCTCATGTTTTTCATTGTCAAATCCAATGATTAATTTTCTCCAACAGTTAATGTATGGCTCAAAGTTAAATTACATTATATATGTAAGGTGTTAAGCATATAAAAGGATCTTAAAAACGGTATTTTAATTAAAGAAATACATGCTGGATAGTAAGGTTGTGTCCAAATTGGTCAGTTGTGTGTTTATTATTCCATTGTACTGTTCTTTGGAAAAATTTAAGTTAATTGATAATTTCATTATTGATGCATCTTACTTTTTTAAAAATAGAAAGGGAACCTAAAATACTGTTGGTTTTTCCAGATGCAAAACATCAAATACAACTTGTCTCCTCACTAATATTCCTAACCAATATTCTTTTTATACACCTTGGCCTTTTGAGATTTCTTAAATATGTGTGAATTTGAAAAGGACCTACTTTATTCAGCAACTGTTTCTCAGCATGTATTACTTTTGAAAGGTTGGATCAAAATATTCTTTAAGAAACATTTATGTCACAAACTATATATTTACACTTTAAAAGCTTTATGATAGGTCTGCTACTTGCTACTAGTTACACATGGGATTCTGTTTCTTTTGCAACCTTTTTAACAGTTACCATAAATATTTAGGTAATACCAGTAATTAGTAACTTCTTGAGCTCTGTGGTTGAAGGAAACATTGGAGATTAAGATTGGAGTTATTTTGTATACTAGCTTTGTAGTTCAATTAAACCTTTGTTATTTTTAACTAAACTGCAAGTTAAGTTCTACTTTGTGGTGCTTTGTCTAGGATATAATCCAATAAATCAGTTCATAATAATAATTGTCTGGTAAATGCTTAACTTTTTCCATTAATAACATAATGGTAGTATGTAGTATGCATTGTAATTTCGAATCCATTCCTTATATTGTCAGTGTTTCTATGCAGTCGTACTTTACTTTGTAAAACACTAGATAGTATTTTATGGCACTTTTCTAATTTTCTTGACTGAAATAGATTTATATATGGGGGAGTTCTAGCTGTTTCTTTCCTACAACTAACTGAAAGGTAGGTGGCACGAAAAGAGCTTTAATTTTTTGTTTGTTCTCTTGTTTTGCAAAGTCATGTAATAGAGCTCTTAACTCCCCAACTTTTGAAAATCCCTACTTTGAATGCTCCAGAATTTCCTTGCTCAGCAGCTGGAAAAGACTTTGTAACCTACTACTCAATTTCAGCTGAGCAATGAAAAACAAAGAACTGTGTACCAAAGTATTCTGTTCTTTTGTATTCTGATTCACTAGTTTCATATGGGTAACAGGATGAAAAGTTACTGCATACTAGTGTTAAGCCCTCCTTGGAATGGCTAGGAAATACATTAAATGAGCCAATATATTAGGTCAGTACTTTTAAAAATATCCCCTTCCACATAGAAAATATTCTATAAGTATTTATTTGAGGTATATTTGGTACTTAACAACTTTTTAACTTCCTGTTACATTGAAGTTGTATTGCCAACAAGTACATACAGCATTAGTTTTGTTTAGAAGGTCTTTAATCACCATTTTGTGCTACTCGTTAACAAGAAAAATTACAAAGTGAGACAGATATTGACTTGGAATATTGGCTGGTTTATCTCCAAATTTCAGAAAAAAATAATTTTGGGCATAGTCATCAATGCTGTTAGTAAGTTTATGACCTTAACATTTATACATTTCTAAAGACATTTTAAAATGATAAAACATTTATTGGAACTGAAAGGGAGAGTTGCCAATCCTATCTTATACTTGGGGAAACAATCATTTAGACTTATGATTCACTTGCAGTCATATGCTTACAGTTATTTTTGGATGAACAGGTACAAAGCCCAGTGAGGTTTTAGTTTTGACATACTGATGGACATGAAAACTTAGCCTGTGTTCCATGCAGGTTTCAGAAGATTTAGTTATAATGAGGTACTTAAATTTAGAGTTTGTGGAGTTACACCAATTATGTTGCTACTAGGATCCAAAGACAAGTAAAGTCTAGTTTTTGTGGCCTCAGCTAACTTACAGTCTTATCAGATAGCCTTGTAACATGTAATATATTTTAAAAACATTGATAGACTGTAATAGGGACTAGTGGAGGAGAAAGGTTAAAAAAGAGTTATTTTTACGTTACTATTAACTGTTTATTAGGAATTTTAATGTTACCTATTGAATCATGAAAGTATTTTATAAAGAAATAGCAAGCTTGAGCTTGAGCTTGAGCTTGAGCTTGGCTTTGAAAGGTGAATAGTTATTTGGGAGAATAGCAACAAGGAGGATTAGGGAACTCCAGATAGAGCATAGATATATGCCTAGATATATGGTAAAACAAAATAACATTGGTTCAACAATTTATTGAACATCCACTATGTACAAGACACTATTACCCAATAAAGACATACTTGAATGATAGAACTGTAAGTTAGTACTTGATTGATTAATAGGTAGTTGCAACTTGTGCAGTAAGTACCACATTAGGAGAGGTTTCAGGATTCTTCTTTTTTTTTCCTTCAGGATACTTTTATGAGGACATAAAAAATTACTTAATGAGAACATGGGTCTGAGATGGAAAGAGATTGAGGCTAGATAGATTTAAGAGTGTTGTGAAGCAATCAAGATAGGATCATACCCGTTGCTTCCTAGACTTGTCCAGGGGCAAATTACCTTATTTTTCTAAGCCTTATGTGTAAAACGAGGACACTAATATTAACCTTGATTGAACTCTAATTATGTACGAGATGTTGTATTGAGGAATTTTTTGTGAGTTATATTATTTCATTTTCTCACCAACCCTATGAGATAGGAACTATTGTCCATGGTTTCATATGGAGGTAGTGGAGCTATAAAATGAAACCAGGTAGGCTGACAAGAGACCTACTTTAAATATTAGTAGTGCTTAATTTATAAAGTTCTTCGAATAACATAAGTAGTTTACTATGAATAACATTGACATTTCTTTCTGTCATTAATAATCAAGGAGAATATTAATAAATTCTAAATAAAGATTTTAAAGCAAGAATATAAAGGACTATATTTTGATGAGAAAAGATTATATTCATCCATTTGTCAGGGAATACTGGTTTTATCCCTATTTTGGATTCAGTATAGATGCTGTATTAGTTACAGGTGACACAGGGTTAATAAATATTGTTCCTCACTTTTAAAATAATCTCATTTTTGTATAGTGTGCAAAACAAAACAATTTAGTAGTGTACAGTTTTCTTTAATGTCATGATGATGGTTTATTAGAAGAAAGCACTTAAACTTATTTAAAAGAGATGAATTATGAAATACTGTGGAATTAAGAGAGTAGTGATAGGAATGAAGAAAATATATGAGATGTTTTGCAAAGAGAATGGACAGGAACTAGAGACTAATTATGGGATGAGTGCTATAATTTACACCATCAAATTAAAGGTGTCTTCAAGGATAGTCTGAAGGAGCTGGTGATGACTTTAAGAAATCCGGGAGGAAGGAGGTCTTTGGGAGTCATAGTAATTAATTTGATTTGGGATAAGTTTAATTTGAAGTGCCTATGATGAGAAATTGAAAAAGGATTTGGCAACTCGAAAAATGAAATAGGCGTTTAAGAGATGTAGATTCTGGAAGCATAATTAGATCATATTTATATACGTAGTTCATTGAAATAAGAATAAATGAAATTAGCTAAGAGGGCTAAGACAAATATAGTTTAATTTCTACATTAAAGAGCAGAAAAATCAGTTAAGTAAGTTAGAAGAGGCAAATAAGCCTACAAATAGGTAATAAGCCAAAAGAGTAGAGTGAGTGAAATTAAAGGAGGAAAATGTTTTAAAGAGGGAATGTAACTAATGCTGTAAAAATGTCTGAGGTTATTATATATTATTTTAAATGATTTTCTGTGTGTCTTCTGATTTATGAAACATATCTTCAAATGAGTAGTGTAGTTATTCATATATAGGCAAAGCATCTAGTGCAAAAGATAAAAATTCATTTTCCCTCTTAAAGTATGGAACCCCAAGGTCTTTATGACAATGGAAACCAAAAAATTGATTGGTAAATCACTTCAACCAGCCAGACCTGTTCATCATTTGACTTCTTCCTCAGGTGAGTAATACAGTATACAATTCTTTAAGTATTAATTTTTTAATGGTTAGCATTGAAAAACTAAACAATATGTAAAATAATTGTTTAAGGTGGATATTTAAAGAAATAATAAAAACTAATGATCTTTTATGTTTGAAGAATTTAGAAAAGAAAAATATTCTTAATAATCTACTTATACTCCAAAGTCTATCAGACCAACAAGGGTAGGAAAAATAATCCTTCACTTTCACTGAAAGTTACTACATATAGTTATTATTTTTATGTCTCAGTTTTCAAAGTCACCTGTCATCTAATTAAAGTGATACTGCTAGTATCAGTTGTGTCCTGTGATTATGATCACTGGAAAATGATCATGCTGGAAAATTAACATTTTAAAGGATACTTATGTGCAAAACAAAACCAAACACAAGCACAAAAAATTAATACAGATAACAGATTTTACAGCGTTCATGTTATACTTGGTATCTAGTACAGCTTAGGGCTATGCTTGACCTGGAATATATCTAATTTCAGAAAATCTAAACAAAAGCAAAAACCTAAAATTAAATGTTCTTTTGTCTGTAAAACTATTTTCTTGGACAAAATTTTTTAATTTTATTTTTTATTGGACAAATTTTTTAAATACCTGATACTTAACTAAATTAGAATATAACCTTTTTATTCTATTCAGTACTTTTTGTCATAATGACTTCTGTGTTCTAAGTTAGGTGACATACACATAACCTGTTTACATTTTGTTTAGTCTTTGTGCTCAACTGAATTAACTAACTACTTAGATAAAGGAGGATATAGCCCTTTTATTGATAGAAAAATGAAACAAAAAGGTAAGGAATTATGGTATCAATTCATGTCCCCTGTTTGTTCTCCCATTTTTGATTCTCATAAGAAAGATTGTCTCCACTTTGGTCATGTTTCCCTTCAAGATAGCTGTTATTTGAAAAGACATAAAATTAATAGATATTTTTAGGCCATAATTAGCAATGCTGATCCCATGTCCTTTTGGTGCACTGGAAGCAGTTGTATAGTGTCAAATCTCTGATTTTACCCTACAGGGGAGGATGCAAAGTAATTGGCTGTAGCTCCTTTCTGTTAAAAGCTTTTGCCAGTGCCCCTACCTTCTTCCATCCATCTCTCCAAATTCAGGCTTTCACTGATCTTGTCCCTCAAGGCTTTTACATAGATGAATGGGTGGGGACATGGAGGTGGCCCTAGTCTCTCATTTAACTATATTCCTCTAAGATTCAGACAGCAGAATAAGTTTATTAGAAAAAATCAAATTAATTTTAGCTTTTCTTGGCATACTTCCACACTCTGAACAACTAAGTTCTCAAGAATCTTCTTTTACTTCAAGACTCAGATTGAATTACTTCCTTTTGCAAAGTCTGCCTAATATCTCAAAATTAACTCTGCTGTCTCCTACTGTCTTCTCTAAATTTCTCTTATAGTTTACAGTATATCAAATTGTATTATAATCATTATTTATTAACTTGTTTTTTAGCTTATTAACTTTTTTTTGACCTCGGAACTCTTTTCATGCTACCATACCCATCCCTGAACACAGATATTTCATAGGGCTGAATAAATATTTATTGGATAGATGAAGTGTTAGAAATATTTCAAAATAATACTTAAGATATCTTAACACAAGCTAAGTTACTGACATCATGAATATTTAAAATAGAAAATTTTCCCTCCTAACAGGAGCAGTGTTGCCTTTCAACTTTCAAAGTGATTATCAGCGCAACACCCAGTGCTTACAAAGTGGAGTTAGCAGAGTAAGTCTTAGAAATTATAATAAAAAGGGCCTGGGAGTGTAACTCAGTGGTAGGTTGCATGCTTTACATGCATGAAGCCCTCGGTTTAATCCCCAGCAACAAAAAAAGAAAGACAAAAGTTATAGATAAAATGTTATAGAAAATAACATTTCTTGGATGATTGTTGTATGCTAGATATGATGCTACTTTGTATATTTTCTGAAAAGTTACATATTTCAGACATTTTAAAGGTAATATAACACCTATGTATCTGTCACCCAGCGTTTTCAAATCTGAACATTTTTCTATATTTGTTTTTAAAAATTTAAAGAACAATTTAATTAAAAACCTCTTGTATCTCTACTATTCTATTTCCTTCCCACCTTTCACAGAGATAGCAATCCTCAGTTTTGTTTAAATAAATGTATTTGGACTTTTGCTACAATAAATGGAATTGTTCTGTTTTACAGTTTTATATAAATAATATCATAAACATTTTTGGTTGAACCATTTTTTCTTTCACATTAAGTTTATATTAAGTATCTTAATTTTTAAATTAACTACAATAGTTACAAAGTATGAAATTCAAAATATATAAAATGGTATTCAGTGAAAAGTTTCCTGTCAATTTCTATTCCCTAGTCAACAGTTACTTCTGACATAAGGAACCATTTTATTTTTTTGAGACTGGGTCTCACTATATAGGATGGCCTTGGGTTCACTATGTAGCCTTGAATTCGTGGCATTCCTCCTGCTTCAGCCTCCTGAGTGCTAGGATTACAGGCATGTGCCACCACACTCATTTAAAGAACCATTATTGTTCAGATACTTCCAGAAATAAGCTGTGCTCCATGTATAATCATTAGCATATCCATAAATGGAATACTATTCGTCATTACAGTGAATACACTAGTTCTATATGTGCTGAGACAGAAAATATTTTAATATATGTGAATACATATTTGTTAATGAGCACTTGTTTCTATTTCTAATAAATGCTACAGTGACATCTGTGTGTATAAAACTGGAGTTGAATTTTTATGTGACAAAGTGTTTATATGATCAAACCAAATTACTTGCAAAGTGAGTTGTATGCGCAGTGCATGAGGTTTCTAAGTTTTCCATAACCTTATCTTATTACCATTTCATTTTAAAATTTTTCCTTGTTCTGGTCAAGGGATTTAGCTCAGTGGTTCCACTGCCTACCTTGCAAGAGCAAGATCCTTAGTTCAATCTCCAGTACCCACCTCCCAAAAAAGAAACAAACTCAGAAAATTGTTTTCCTTGTTCATCTTTTGGTTGGTTTTAATTTTAAATTTTCTGTTGCTTGTAAAATAGAGCAACCTTTTATGTTTAATTTGACCATTTAGATATACATCTAGCGAATTGTGAATTCTTTTTTTTTTTTTTTTTTTTTTTTTTTTTTTTT